TATAATTGTGCTTTATCTCTCTACATATATATATATATATATATATATATATAAGTTTCACCTGTGAATACGAATAATAAAACACTCCAATATTATACTTTTCTGGTGTTTTTTTTCTCTCCTTCATAAATTTCTTCTACCGGTTTCATGTCTTCAAAGGTAAATCTTCAATATATTATTTTACAGATAATTTTATTACCCTTTTTGTAATTCTTAATAATAGTTTCTACGGTTTCACAATTGAAACTAACTTTACACAACCACTGCTACTTGTGCCATTTTACAGCTTGGCATGGCCTGGTGGTTATGGCGTTCGACTCGCAATCTGCGAGTCGCGGGTTCGAATCCCCGTCACGAAATATGCTTGCCCTTTCAGCCGTGGGGGAGTTATAATGTGACGGAAAATCCCACTATTCGTTAATAAAAAAGTGGTCCAAGAGTTGGCGGTGGATGGTGTTAACTAGCTATTTTCCATCCAGTCTAATCCGTTCCTCCTATTGACTCGGTGCTAAATGTCAGGGCTTATAACACTGAAAATTGGGGTTTTATACCCTCTGCGGGTAGAGTACAGATATCCCATTGTGTAGCTTTCTGAATAACAACAAGCAAACAAACATTTAAACAAAGAGTTATATTTGAATTGCATTTACCCTTTAGGAAGTTGCTTTAGAGTTGGTAACTTTCGATTTAATTCGTAGAAAAATCAGTAATTGTTACTTTCCAAAGAAACTTTTTCGTACATTTTTTAACTTTTTTAGGACCTTCGGTTTTTGCCTTTCACCTCCCTGTCTTGTAGCAATTATTTTGCCCATTAGTGCATGTTTAAACATTGTTGGTAAATAAGGTATCGAACTATTAAACTTCAAATATAAACAGTTACTGATGGATAACATTTTTGTACAGCCAACATAACTTCAATATTTCTCAGGTTATACACATTCACTTAATGTATTTACATATGCAATTTATCTGTTGCTAGTCATTCTGATAAAACTTTCTCGCCTTAAATATGTTACTTGATACTATGACGAAACGTTTTGTTAAATTCTCAGTTATGCTTGTTTCATCTAAAATGCAAAACATTTGACAAAATTTTCAGATGAAGTTTTATTCTATGATGCAGGATCCCTGGTGCCAAAATTGTCTACTTATCATTCCTGGCAGTACGAAAAAAGTTTAGAAAACGAGATCTTGGGAGTTTACTTTTAAAGGTATAAGACGACAGCATTTTGAGATATTGTTAAGTGGATTAGATCTAAGTAAATTCATGAATAATTTATGATCTACTTGACACATTAAATTAAGACATTTCGACAAACCAACTTAAGACGCAATAATAAGATTAAGGCCTAGTAGTGAATTCTGCAACTATTTCTAGTGTTATTGAAAAATGTTTTATTATTGTGTGTTTCAATAGTTCTTTAATATTTTGCTGATCAAACCTGCCAAGACAAGTGGGTAAAATACAATAGAAATTCTGTAAAATAACGATCGCCTTAAGGACTCACACATTTATCATTATACTAGATACAGCAAATTATTCCAAGATATGAAAACAAAGATGTCATTTATTTGAATTGACAATGATCTTCAGGGCTCATAACTCTAAAATTAGGGGTTTTATTCCCGTAATGAGCGAAGCGCAAGTAACCTATTGTGTTGCCCTGCGCATAAACCCCAAAACAAAACCGTTCCATCAAACATTGCTATAGCAAAATATATCATTAAAAGACAATGACTAGCCTAGAAGGTTAATGTTTTAGCTTAATATTTGTTTGAAGCAATAATTTCCATGGAACATGCTCCACGTGCACCATATTAATAGATATATGGCCATTTTGAATCTTTTGTCTATTGTATTTTGGTTTGTTCCAATTAGATGTAGCGTATATATATGAATCGAAACTATATGCATGAGGTAAAGTTAGCCAGAACTATCACGCACTTGTCTTCATACAGGTAAACTCTTTTCACAATACATTCATGATTAACGATAAAAAATTTACTAAACTTATTTTATAGAAATATATTTTTCTACCTTTCCAAAAGGTTAAAATAAATTTTTCTATATCTAAAATACATTATCAGCTTCTAACTTTTGCTTCGAGATATCTTAAGCATTTAGTAATACTACGTAAATATTAAACTAAAATCCATAATCAATACAGTAACCAGCCGAGTATGTTGAATTTGTTAGATAAAATGGTAAATGTTGAGCATCAGTCAGTGCAGAATGCATTTCCTGTCCATAAAACGAACCTTGTGTGTCCAACTTACAAAAAATAGATTATGTACATCTTTATAGATTACATTTTACCAGACATATAAAAATTGTATTTCCCAGGTTTCTCTAAAGAATTAGACTGGTCAGTTATTATTTATATGGCTGATAAACTGACTACGTGAAATTTCAGCATATAATTTCCCTTTTTTTTTGAGTCCGAAGTTTTGAAATGTGAGTCAGTCTGATAAGTGTCTAATATAGTATTATTACGTTTCTTAATAGTTACCACATGATACGAGTGAAGTGGTTAAACGTAAGTGTTATAATAATAAATAAATACTATGCAATAACTGGAACTTATTTTCTTGTAGAAGTTAAAATCCCCTTCTTTAGTGGGGCCCTATGACGCTTTGGTCGTTAGAAGTGAAAACTCGAGTTTCCAGTTTTTCCGAAAAAATGGATTTACTGATGACGTCATCTTGAATAGCAAGTTTAGGTAGAACAGTTTTTTTTTATTCTATATCCATTATTAAGTCTGCCATATCCTGTTGAAAAATAAACGAATCGCGCTTAATTAACTAATATTTAAAGGGAGAGCTAGAAATACAAACACGTGTTGTTATATCATAAAACCATTGTTTCTCTTCTTATTAGAGCTTAGTGTGGCCCAGTGGTTAGCAGCAGCGCTATGTGAACCCGAAGTTTCGTGGTTCGCGTCCCCTTACCGTAAAAACGCGCTTCGCACTATGGTGCTGTAGGTGCGTTATGAAAACTACGGTCAAATTTTTCTATTTAGTTAGACTAGCCTAAGAGTTGGCGGTGGGTGCTGTTGATCAGCTGCCTTAGTTTAAGATTAATATTTATTGCGCGGACATTCTAAGACAAGCAAACTTCGTAAAAACTCATGTTAAATTCGTCAAATGTTGACATTCACTTCAAAGTTACTGGGAACAATAAATACCGCTTTTAATTATTTTTTCAGCGACTAAAATGTTAAGTTCTATATCGTTTGGCACATTCAATAAAAAGTCTATTTCGGGAATCGATAGGTAACACCAAGTATAGACGTTATTGATTTTTTTCTATCGACTCTTTTCTTACATTTTTGTTGAGTAAGTCTAAGGATGTTATAAAAAGATTGAAAATCAAAATCATTTGTCTGAGTTACAGAATCAAGAATTGGAAATAGTTTCGACTACTACATAACAATAAGTTTTATTTCTAAGCTGAATATAAAATATTTAAGCTACAACTAAATAAAAAAGTATATTTAGTTAAATTTTGTGCAACGTTTCAGGCAGACAAGTAAATACAAAGTTACATTGTTAAGTTAATTTATTCTTTATCTCCTTTATTAGAATTGTTTCTGCTTACATATTGCGGAACAGCGGATACTTATGAATAGCAATGCCTTTTGTTTATTAGTAAACTGAATAAAATATATTTAAGCTACAAAATAAGCGCACTTATTTCATATTATATACATAGATATTAAATATATAATACTCAATTAAAGGATCCACGAATAACAATACCATTTATATAAATAAGTTATGTCTCTATCTCCTTTTTTCCCTGACAATGGAAACTTTTTTGTTTTTTGTAGAGATGTTGACGAAGGTTGGGAAACGTCTATATTGATGAGTTATCTTCCTCCGTTTGATGGAAAGTATTCACTTCACAGTTCTAGATGCTTAGAAATCGGTTTAAGACTTGTTCCTTAGGCTTTCAGTATATTTTTGTATAAAACTTTTATTTAGAAACGTACCTATAATATATATATATACCTGACTATCATTCACTTAAGTTATAAACAAATGTGTCTTATACTTTTCACTTACTTATCCTATTCCGATTTTCTCTTTCAGTCTAGAAAGAAAGGAAAATACAAATGTATCTTTAAAGTTGGATTTTTTTTTGTACAAAAGACTCCTAAACCATTTGGAATTATAAATGATATTCGCTATTATGTAATCCAATAATACATGCGCTTTCATTGTTTTACCTAATAATTTATAAAAGAAGTACGCATAGCTGTTTGGAACTATATATTACATTGTACTCAAAATCTTTCCAATCCTCATTTTCATTCATTAAGCTCTGCCTTCGATAGCTCAGTGGTAAGTTTGGGGGGCTTTTTACGCTACAAATTGGACTTCTATACCCTCGGTAGGCAGAGCACAGATAACTCTGTAGCTTTGTGCTTAACAACAAAACAAACATTCAAATAAATAATTAAGCTCATAAAATACGATTATTAATTCTTTGATTACCAATATGGCTACATTATTTGCCCACAGCCCATAAGGAGCAGTGAAATGTTTAGATATACGTCATATAAATTATTTCCAAATGAGCAAAAACAAACAAAAAATAAATAAATTATTCTTGTGTTTTGTGTTGAAACAAGCTGGGTTTATGATAATAATTTATACAATAACTATTGTAATAATCAGTATCTCATACGCCTCCTATAAAGATATTTAATGTGTGTAAGAATTTACCTAAGGACGAATCTTTAACTAACTATTGTAAAGCGCTGAACCGAAATATACTCATTTTAGTGAAAAATGTAACCTATTTCAAAAAACAATTTTATTGTTATTTCGCTACAAAACAGCTTATTACATTGTTTCTTGATGATACTAGAGTCAACAAAACATTGAACGTTGTGTTAAAAGGTTTTTTGTAGCTATATATCACTTTAACGTTTTTTTATTTTACTGTTGATTTTTGTGATATCTTCACTTGTCGTTCCCGGTGGGTTAGCAGTAGGTTTATTAAATAAAATCGTCAATTTAATACTCAATCTGTTACCTTTTCTGCCTCAATTTGTTTTGTCTAACACCGACAGGTTTGTAACAGTATCTCAACCTAAGATTTTATTTAGCCCTTTATATATTAACCTCTTAATATCGACTGTGATTGGCTCTTTTGTTAGTTTCGTAGTTTGTTTTTGTTTTGTTTTGAGAGGTAACGTTCAATTCGCAGGTCATTACCCACCGTTCCCTGGAACAAAAGAATGGAACAGACCAGAAGCCGTGATAGCAATGGAAGAAGAGATGGAGACGTGGTATGGAAGATATTTGTAAATAAATTACCAATAAAAAATGTTTTATGTTTTCTTGATTACTCAGCTAACTTGAAAACAAACTAAAGCACCGAGTTTGTAGCGAGTTTCAAGTAGTTTATAGATAGAGAGCCATTGAATAATATTCTTAAAAAAAGTTCACATTCCATGAGGTATAACAATGGTCACAATGCGTGAGGTATAACAATGGTCGCTTTCCGTGAGGTTATAACAATGGTCGCATTCCGTGAGGTTATAACAATGGTCGCTTTCCGTGAGGTTATAACAATGGTCGCATTCCGTGAGGTTATAACAATGGTCACATTCCGAGGGGTTATAACAATGCATCAATTGCGAAAAAATTAACTTGGCAATAATTAGATAAAAGGGCTACGTTTTATAAGTACTATGAATGACCTTTTTTTATTAAGTTGACGCTTGTGGAAAATATATAATTTATCTGACGAATCTTTGAAATTAGATTCAAATTGGGTTTAAATTTAGAGGCCTATAAGTTAGTAAGCCTTCATATATATATATATATATATATATATAGACTACGTGTAAATATCAAAAACTTTATCAGATACAATTCTAAGCTGTTGTACCCCAGTGGCATAGCGGTAAGTCTGCTAACGACCAAGATTCGATACCCGTGGTAGGCACAGCACAAATAGTCCATCGTGTAGCTTCGTGCTTAACTACAAACAAACAAATCTAAGCTGTTATAATTATCACTTATTAAGATATAAAAAAAACAATCTTCAATCAAAATTTTACATTATGTTAATCTAGGGTTTCTGAAAATGGGTGAACCAGGTTATTAGAAAAGGTAGTGCACGCGCGCGAAGGAAAGCTTAACGTGGTGATATTCTGTAGTGGGTGCCATTAATGCAATGTTTGAAACCAGCTATCCGAGATACGACCACGTAAATAAGTTCACAGTCGACTAATGCATCGCAGCTAGGCTATAAGCGTAGTTTAATCACAAATGGAACTTAGGCTGCATAATTATGGTTTTTAGTTTTAACTTACGATTTTCACTTGAAAACACATATGTAGAATAATATTTCGACGGTTAAATTAATCAGAGTTCTAAAAGACTGAAGCGAAACGACGGCTGTAAGATACCTTTAATGACTTTTTATGCTTTCTTCGAATTACCACTAATTACAGCTTTGAATTAAACATTAATTTCTTCTGATGAAACGTTTCAGTAAATCTTTTTATCGGTAAAGATGCTCAATTCCTGTACCAGTTATCAGTCAAGTTACTTCTGAATTTTCTTTATGCTAACAAAATGTTTAGAAATAACTGCTTACAACAGAAAGAGCTAAACTCTAGAAAAAAGAACTTATCCTAAGTTTAAAATAACTTTATACAAATTTTAAGCTAATTGGTTTAATATCTAAAACTAAATACGAACTAATTCGGTTATATTTTAAGGGATAAGAAAGACTAATACATTTATATTTTATTGATAAAATAACGTCAATATGTTTGATAGATGAGTATTAAAACACGGACTATCGTTTTAATATCCGAAGGAGAAACAAGAGCTAACCTATTTAGTCTCTAATATAACCGTAAAATAAGCTGTTATTTTACTATTTTGTCTCAAAGGATATAATAAGCTGTTTCTTTGCTTTTGTTTAAAAAAGAAAGGAAGAAAAAAGAGTGCCCTAGTAAGATTAAATTCACGATTGACGTTTCGAATCTTTTGCGTTTGAGCTTTGACCTGATGAATGCAAACGCAATCATGTCGATCCTGAGTCAGTTTCTTCAGAGCAGATACTTCGTTTCACGTACACAAAGGGCTAAGCTGTTTAATATTTGACAGATAAGCAAAGGTAAATGAAACCATTTTTAGACTTACGTTCTTCTTCTCTTATGTTTCAAGTTTGTTTTCTCCTTCCAGGCGACAGAAAAGTCTTGAAGCTTACCAAGCACAGGTCACGTGCTTAACAAGACTTCAACAGGAAGTGTTAAGGCTTCACAACCTGGTAAGCTGAAAATTACTTTAAGAAAAACCAAATCATTGAAAAAACACGAACATCAGTGATTTGATTTGATTAGGTCGTTTCTGGTTATTTGTATCATTCTTTAAGTTTGTTAATTAAAATATAAATATGTTTATTTTCTAAACAAATAATAATATTTTCTTTCCTAATATACAGGTTACTTTTCTTTTTGGTATAGCACAACAATGGACTATAATTTTAGCCGAATGTGAAAGATGCATATTAAGAATAATAGTTCGACTTCCAAAAAAATATGCGATCAATGCGCTTGTTTAGAATTAAATAAAACCAGAAAAATTAAACATTCCATGAATTAAGATACGTTTTTTATGTTAAAATGTTACTGACACCGCTAATTAAGGAAATCAAAGTATCAGATCAGAATTATCAGAATGTTGCGTGTTTAAAAATATTAATATATAAATCACATTATGTCTAATACCAGCCTTTAAAATACTTCTAAGGAAAGTCTAAAGTATCAAACGAAA